AGTCATCTGGTAGTTAAGAACCTTCCTCCTGTTCGGCCAGTGATTAGTTACTAATAAACCAAAAAAGGAAGATTAAGCTTTAATGGGTAAAATGTGTTTCAAGAATAAAACAGAAAGTAATTCTTTCCTGAAACTGTGACAAAACCCCTGAGCAACTCAGGTTATCTGAAATATTTCAGATATCTCAGGTCAGAAGATTCTTTCAGTTCCAGTTTTGTTCTGCAGCTGATGGTTCCTAGGAGGACTAAATGCATTGTCTATAGCTGTAATATTGACATTATAGATAAAAAACTGTAGTTATGTCTGTGATTTTATTCTTGTAATTCATCTGCCTTTTGACAGTTTTGGAAAAACTGATTTATTTGTCAATTTGTTTAGTTTCTGGGTGAATAATTATAAATAATACTCAGACAACAGGGCATGGCAAACATCAAAATAAATAATAAACTGTCAGTAAATCAGTCTAAACCACAGAAACATACATTGGATGTAACTCAAACTATCCAATAAGTGGTTTCCATGGGAACCAAGCTTGGTCTAAATTAGATTTTTCCTTCCAGATGCCAAACTATTTATTTCCTCCAACAGAGTGACTGGAAACGGCGTTGAGTCTGAGACGATCTGAGAATCACCAGAGGATGAGTAAAAATCATCCAGGAGGAAAAACTTTAAAGACTGGAAACGTTTATTTAAGAAACAGGAACTGAGATGGAATGGTCAGAGTTCCTCCATGTTCGGTTCCAAAAATAAACTACATTCAAATGCAAAAAGCAGAGAAAAATAAATTAAACATGGAACTGAATATGATAATACTTATCCAATATAAACAGACAATAACTGTTCAACCTCACTGAGGTTCATAAGTTAGAAGCTGCTCTGCAGCATCGAGGCAGTTTGACCTGAAGCTGTTCACTCAGGTTTAAATGTGTTTGTTTCAGCTCCCATTCAGGAAGTCACCATCAGGAAGTCGGACAATAATCTCATCTGCAGTTCAGACGGGATCTACCCTGAACCCAACCTCATCTGGACCATCGGCTCCCAGTATGATCCACCAGAAAAACCCAGAATATCAAAGACTGAGTCGGAGCTTTACAGCATCAGCAGCTCCATACCTTATAACCTCAACGGCTCTCATTATGCTGCAACCTGCAGCATCAGCACAACCAAAGACCAGAAGAAAGCTACTTTAACGGAGAACGGTAGGTGGAAATGTTCCCTCTAGAGGATGGAGTTCATGTGAATATACGGCTTTAGCTGTTAAATGTTGTGTGTTTATTTACTTTTAGCTCAAAGAAACTCTTCATTCACCGAAGCAACAGTTGAGTGTCAGCGTCTGGACGCTCTTCCAGGTCAGATCGTCTGGAGATTCAACCACAGTCAGAAGATCCTGACACAGAGCCAAGGTGAAGATTTTCAGGCGACACCAGAGTGGCAGAAATATGTGAAGGAGGTTTCATCACAAGGAGATCTAACACTGAAAGATCTGACATCAAAACAAGAGGGAACGTACACGTGTGAATCCAGTAACACCAAGGAAACGGCCACAGCATCCACTCCGCTGCGTTTAGTAGAAGGTGAGATCCAGGAACATCCAGATTGCTGCTCCTGACCTCTGATTAGAAACAAGAAGAAAATATTTTAAATCTGTTTTAGCGAACCAGAACCTGTCACTACAAACCAGGCGCCATCATCC